ATGGTTATTATTATTATTATTATTCTATTATATGCAAGACATCTGTATCAATCCGTAACCAAACCATGGGAAACTTATGTGCACTATTGCATAACGGTATTCTTAAGAATCTAAGACTATTTCTGTTTCTATTTCTGTTTCTGTTCGTTCGTTTCGGTTATGCTATGCTATGACAACATTTGGATGATTAAGACCTAATTATATAATTGTTTCCTGGTATAGAACAAAGTGTTGTACGGAACTAAGTGCTGCAATGCGAGTCACCTCTAGAATCCGTACGAGCCACCTCTTGAGTCCATACATATGTGAACCAGGCTTAAAGCCGATGTGAAAGTTATGAGGCCTATGGCTGTTCTGTGAAAGTTATGAGGCTGATAGCCGTTCTGTAACATCTGTGAGGCCTATGGCCAATTTGTGACATCTGGGCCTATGGCCATTCTGTATGATCTGTTAGTATGAAACAAAGTGCTGCACGGAACTAAGTGCTGCCATGCGAGTCACCTCTAGAATTCGTGCGAGCCACCTCTTGAGTTCATACATATGTAAAAGGGCTTAATGCCATCCTGATAAGGGCTCAACGCCACTCTGTTAAGGGCTCAACGCCACTCTGTTCGAGGGCTTAAAGCCGTTCTGATTAAAAACTGGGCCTATGCCCGTTCTGAAAGCAACCACAGGATGAGATTAATGATAAGTTCTCTGCATTTATATATCTTGTGATTCACGTTATTTATTGGATTATCACGTATTATTATTCACTGAGCCTTGCTCACTCTGTTTTTATGTATGTTAATGTAGGTGAGCCATCGGGGATTGACACTAGAATTGTATTGAGGTCAACCTGTTTGCCAAGCCGCCTGGGGTACGCCTCCGTATTGAGCCCTTAATTTTGATTACTGAGAGTTATGTAATTGTTGGAGTCTTATCTAAGTGTGTGTGAGATCTGCATAATTCTGTGATTGTATATGTAACTATGAGAATGTGTTTAAGTGCTTAAATTCAATTAAACCATCATGTATGCACAAGCTCACTGGATGTTGTCTTTTATTGATATTGCTTCCGCTTAAGGCCCCGTATGTGACTAAATATTATTCTCAAGTTCTGTTTTGAGGCCTATGGACAGGCCGGTCATGGACCAAACTTTTAGGGGCGGGTTTGGGCCATGACAATTTGTGTGCATGACCACTCTCTCTATCATTGCAAAAGCTCCAGGGAGTGTAGTCCTCGATCCTCGTGCCACCAATCACGCATCTTGATGCATGATGGCCAAGGAGTCAGATTGCACGACTCGATGTAAAATGAATGCACATATAAACACAACAAGGTCTAAACTCCATCATGGGTAATCCGGAGTGTCGGCGACCGACACTACAACAAAAAGGGCCTTTGGTGACAAACTGATTTCGTCTCCAAACATCAAAATTTCGTCACTAAAGTGATCTGTGACGAAAAAAATTTGTCACCACGTTCGTCACCTATACGTCGTCACAAAAAGTACCTGGTGACGAAAAACAGTTTCGTCACCTATTTTTCATTTTTGGTGACGAAATGTTTCATCTCCAAATGTTAAATTTTTCGTCCTCTAAAACACCAATTTCGTCACCAAAACTAAATAATATTTTATTTTAATTATTTTTTGCGACGAAATATTTCGTCACCAAATATATTTTAGTGACGAAAGTTTTCATCACCAATGATATGGATTAAGGTGAGAAAAAAGTTCGTCACTAAAATGAACAAAAAAGAAAATTATTCAATGACAAAAAATATTTTGTTACCAAATATTTCAATTTAGTGACAAAATACTCAGCAAATGTGACAAAATTATTCGTCATGTTTTTTGAAAACTAATAGCGACATTTTTTATTTCGTCACTAATAAAATTTTGAAAATAGGTGTACCATTTTCTTTCGAAATTTTTTCTTTTCAGGAACAATTCCCTGCGTATTTCAATAACCTGTTCAATAAAATATCTATTACAAACCAATAGAAAAATCTGTTCATTTTCATAAACATCACAATCGAATTTTAACACTATCCACAAAAATACAATATGAACTGCATGCTGATTATAAACATGTCTCCTAACATCCACAAAAAACTACTAATATCCACAAAAATATAATATCAACCGTATGCAGATTACCAAACACATCTCCTAATATCCAACAAAAAAACATGTCTACTAATATCAACAAAAATAAAATATCAAGGGCAGATTACCAAACATGCCCCGTAATACTAATAAAAATATAAAATTTACAGCACAACCAAAATATATGTAAGGTAATATGAACAAAAACACAAAATGAACTATCATTGGCCCTCCAAATTACCAAACACGTCCATATCAAATCTCGAATCTGCAAAAAAATGAAACACAAAAAAAAAAATGTCAGTTAGACAATTATTATTTTATCCATAACATATAGAATTTAACATACATTTTTGGACTTAGTTTTCAAACCGGGAGTCCCGTGCTAGTTCCGTAAGTTTCCACAACTCACATTAGTCCGTCCTGAGGTGTTTGAGATGTTTCCCGGGCCGTCTCGTGGCTGTTGCACGATTTTGGCCCCCGAAGGCTTATTTTCAAACTTAAGTGTGGAAAAGTGCATTTTTGAACTTAGTTTTCAAACCGGGAGTCTCATGCTAGTTTCGTAAGTTTTCACAACTCACATTGGTCCGTCCCGAGGTGTTTGAGATGTTTCCTAGACCGTCTCGTGGCTGTTGCACGATTTTGGGCCCTGAAGGCCTATTTTCAAGCTTAAGTGTGGAAAAGTGCATTTTTGGACTTAGTTTTCGAATCGGGAGTCTCATGCTAGTTCCGTAAGTTTTCACAACTCACATTGGTCCATCCCGAGGTGTTTGAGTTGTTCCCCAGGCCGTCTCATGGCTGTTGCACGATTTTGGCCCCCGAAGGCCTACTTTCAAGCTTAAGTGTGGAAAAATACTTTTTTGGACTTAGTTTTCAAACCAAGAGTCCCGTGCTAGTTCTGTAAATTCCACAACTCACATTGGTCCATCCCGAGGTGTTTGAAGTGTTTCCCGGGCCATCTCGTGGCTGTTGCACGATTTTGCCCCCGAAGGCCTATTTTCAAGCTTAAGTGTAAAAAAGTGCATTTTTGGACATAGTTTTCAAACCGGGAGTCCCGTGCTAGTTCCGTAAGTTTCCACAACTCACATTGGTCCATCCCAAGGTGTTTGAGGTGTTCCCGGGGCTGTCTCGTGGCTGTTGCACGATTTTGGCCCCTGAAGGCCTATTTTCAAGCTTTAGTGTAAAAAAGTGCATTTTTGGACATAATTTTCAAATCGGGAGTCCCGTACTAGTTCCGTTATTTTCCACAACTTAGATTGGTCCCTCCCGAAGTGTTTGAGGTGTTTCCCAGGCCGTCTCATGGCTGTTGCACGATTTTGGCCCCCGAAGGCCTATTTTCAAGCTTAAGTGTGGAAAAATGCATTTTTGGACTTAGTTTTCAAACCGGGAGTCCCGTGCTAGTTCCGTTAGTTTCCACAACTCACATTAGTCCCCCCGAGGTGTTTGAGGTGTTCCCCGGGCCGTCTTGTGACTGTTGCACAATTTTGGCCCTCGAAGGCCTATTTTCAAGCTTAAGTGTGGAAAAATGCATTTTTGGACTTAGTTTTCAAACCGGGAGTCCCGTGCTAGTTCCGTTAGTTTCCACAACTCACATTAGTCCCCCCGAGGTGTTTGAGGTGTTCCCCGGGCCGTCTTGTGACTGTTGCACGATTTTCGCCCTCGAAGGCCTATTTTCAAGCTTAAGTGTGGAAAAATGCATTTTTGGACTTAGTTTTCAAACCGGGAGTCCCGTGCTAGTTCCGTTAGTTTCCACAACTCACATTAGTCCCCCCGAGGTGTTTGAGGTGTTCCCCGGGCCGTCTTGTGACTGTTGCACAATTTTGGCCCTCGAAGGCCTATTTTCAAGCTTAAGTGTGGAAAAATGCATTTTTGGACTTAGTTTTCAAACCGGGAGTCCCGTGCTAGTTCCGTTAGTTTCCACAACTCACATTAGTCCCCCCGAGGTGTTTGAGGTGTTCCCCGGGCCGTCTTGTGACTGTTGCACGATTTTCGCCCTCGAAGGCCTATTTTCAAGCTTAAGTGTGGAAAAATGCATTTTTGGACTTAGTTTTCAAACCGGGAGTCCCGTGCTAGTTCCGTTAGTTTCCACAACTCACATTAGTCCCCCCGAGGTGTTTGAGGTGTTCCCCGGGCCGTCTTGTGACTGTTGCACAATTTTGGCCCTCGAAGGCCTATTTTCAAGCTTAAGTGTGGAAAAATGCATTTTTGGACTTAGTTTTCAAACCGGGAGTCCCGTGCTAGTTCCGTTAGTTTCCACAACTCACATTAGTCCCCCCGAGGTGTTTGAGGTGTTCCCCGGGCCGTCTTGTGACTGTTGCACGATTTTGGCCCTCGAAGGCCTATTTTCAAGCTTAAGTGTGGAAAAATGCATTTTTGGACTTAGTTTTCAAACCGGGAGTCCCGTGCTAGTTCCGTTAGTTTCCACAACTCACATTGGTCCCTCCCGAGGTGTTTGAGGTGTTCCCCGGGCCGTCTTGTGACTGTTGCACGATTTTGGCCCTCGAAGGCCTATTTTCAAGCTTAAGTGTGGAAAAATGCATTTTTGGACTTAGTTTTCAAACCGGGAGTCCCGTGCTAGTTCCGTTAGTTTCCACAACTCACATTGGTCCCTCCCGAGGTGTTTGAGGTGTTCCCCGGGCCGTCTTGTGACTGTTGCACGATTTTGGCCCTCGAAGGCCTATTTTCAAGCTTAAGTGTGGAAAAATGCATTTTTGGACTTAGTTTTCAAACCGGGAGTCCCGTGCTAGTTCCATAAGTTTCCACAACTCACATTGGTCCATCCCGAGATGTTTGAGGTGTTTCCTGGGCCGTCTCGTGGCTGTTGCACGATTTTGGCCCCCGAAGGCCTATTTTCAAGCTTAAGTGTATTAGCTCAATTTTGATTCTTAATTTTTTTTTTTTTAATTTTGTGTCAATTTTAGTCCAATTGATAACGCTGGTAAGAATTTTTGATGAAAAATAATCAAAAAGTTGGTTAAGATTAAATCACTAATATTTACTATCAATGCCACATCCAGTACAACTAGAAAATATTTACTAGTGTGAAAGCAAGTATGGAAACTGATAATAGATAACAGTACAATCAAGGTTCTATTTATAATGTGCAAACATTTTATGATGAAATAGTGAAGTTTAAAAGTGTCCTAACCTAAGCCGAAGTTCAGAAACCAGCAATTAAATAAGAGTCACAATACTAAGAACTAATTTGGACATCATGTGTCTTGGTTATAGTTTGGATTTGTCTTCTTCTGAGGATCTCTCTCTAAAACCAGTTAAGTATCTTAGAGAGGATGTGACAAATACCATGGAAAACTCTCAACTATAGCCATCAAGTCATAAGATCTTAGTCATCCAAGTCCGTGGTTATGATCATATACATGTACCCACAAAAACATAGAAACAAAGAAGCAAGGCAGATAAAGAAGGTAAGAGTTTCATGCTAGCTTATACAATGGCTTAATTGTCTAAAAACTGTATTAGAATGGTTCTTCAATTACCATAAGTAATTCTAAAAGGTAAAATGTTGAAAATTGCATACTTACATGAATAATCAGCACAGGACAATTAACATATGGGATTTTGTCAATGTTCTGCACACAGTCAACACAAACACCATTTAATTAGACCCAAAAAAAAAATGCATAATCTTTCAATCAAAATAATAGTATAGATAAACAGATGATCTACGCTTCACAGGATACATGACACTTATACACAGCTTCAATATCTGCATATGTATTATGCTCACTTGGCTGCAAAACAAGGAAGCTATGTGCCATAGATGACACTTTCTATCACTACAAGGCACACTATATAACTTAACAATTCACTTTCATCTAGAAAAGCTTTCTTCTTCCTTTGTTTTTTTGGATAGGTAATGAGGCTTGAATAACATAGAAAATGTTCCCATGAGGTTTATCTCCTAGATTCTCTGGAAAGAGCCAATATAGTAGACTTACATGGTAAACATTGCAATCACCTATTTTTGTTTGAGTTTGAGTTAAAGTTCTTCCTTCTTTTTTTCCCTCCCTGTTGGAGAGAGTTCAACGAACTTCAAGAAAAAATAAATTGCAGAACTATATGAATCAAGGAAACCTTACTTGTTTAATGGGATGTGCTCAAATGGACCTGTAGTAGGAATTGTTCCACACAAGTTGTTGTTTGAGACATCTCTGCAAAATCATTCAGATGTCTTGACACTAAGTCACAATGAATCTAGTACTAATAATTCAAACACTAAGGTTTTTCACTTACACAACTTTCAAGCTGGAAATACCAGTGAGCTCCTTTGGGATTTTCCCAGTTAACTGATTATCATTAAGACACCTGCCAAGCAAAAATGAGGAATTAGGATGTGGGTTCACGGGTGCATATGGCAGTTGTATCCAAGCATGACGGCCTCAAACTGTTTGTGTACTAGAGCAAGAGAGTCTTTAATTTTCAATGACCATATATCAAACAAAAGGGAAACACAAGTGATTAACAAACAGTTTGAGGCTTGAAACACAAGTCTTTCCGTCAAATCCATCGAAGCACCCATAATCATAACCCCAATTTCCTGTAAATTAAATTGTAATTAACAACCAAAATCACCCACAGCCTCAGATATCAGTAGAGATAACCTCTAAAGTAAATAAATTTGCAAAAAAATTAATGACATTCCAACTAAACCCTAATGCCAGAAGGGATCAAATCAAAACTAACACATAAAATAAAGCAAAATTTCATTTTCTTTTTACATCGAATTGATCAAAACACTCATAAAATTTCCATTTTGAGTAAATTAAAAAGTAATAAACAAGCAAAATCACCCACAGCCTTTAAGCATTGAGAGAGAGAGAGAGAGAGAAAGAGAGAGAGAGACTAACAACGGTGTTCTTCGATCTGCACAGCAGCGACGGTGAGGAAAGGAGGGGCTAACGGCGGCGGTGGTGAGGGCTGTCGGCGGTGAGGGCTATCGGAAATGGTAGAGCGGCGGTGTGTTGATCCAATGTGAGCAGCGGCTGTGAGGGCCCTGTGTAGTATAACGTCTGTGTGTGTGTGTGTGTGTGTGTGTGTGTGAGAAATAGGTTTGAACCGAGAAATGATTGTGTGTGATTGAGAAGAGGAACCGATTGTAACAAAACATTTTTATTTCCCCCTAAAATATTTAGTGACCAAATTATATTTTGGTGACAATTATTTCTTCACCAAAAATAAAAATATTGGCCACAAAAATAGTTTTGTCACTAAATGATATTAAAATATCACCAAATTATTGGTGACAAGAATATATTTGTCATTAATAATTTTATAATTTGTGACAAATTTTTTCGTCACCAAAAGTCTATTAATTTTGGCGCCCTCCGAAAATATTAGCGGGAAAATATTTGATGACAAAAAAAAATATAAATAATGACGAAATATAATTTCGTCACCTATTTTTTTTATTATGATTTAGATTGGTGACGAAATTTTATTTTTGTCTCTAAAAATGATACATTTGAAGACGAAATATGATTTTCGTCATTAAAAGATACATATTTTGTGACAAAAAAATATTTCGTCATTACTTTTCGTCTCTAAAGACTATTTTTGTTGTAGTGCGAGAATCGAGGCACGTTTCGTCACTTGGAGTACGAAACATCCCTCGTTTCCCGTGTTTGGACTAAACCCTATTCCAAACACAATGCAATATACATGGCATACACAATACGACTAGCATGCAACCCTAAACGCAATGCAACCTAATCATGCTAGCATGCGAGGGATGATATGCAAACATGCAACTAGCATACAAAATGCTATGAACTAAGAATGGCATACTTAATGCACATGAACTATATGGCATATGAAATGCACATACGAAGATAGACATGCACAAAGACATGAACAAGGCATACACAATGCGACGATCAAGCATGCGACAACATGAGACAGACTCAAACTAAAATGAATGGGCCTCAGCCACACTTAAATCAGTGGCCATACATGATGAAAATGATGCAACAACACACATGCAGACATGCACGAATGCAAGGGACCAAACCTAAGGCACAAAGTGCAACACCACCAAAGCATGGTAATCATCAAATATGGCATACAATCACATATTTTCCAGCTCTAAAATAATATGCAAGATGGTCCCGAATCATGCAAACACCTCGCACAATGCATGCTAGATGGCCAAAATATCGAAACTAGTGAAGTGGATTACACTATAGGCATGCAAAGCAATACTCAAATGGCCAAACTAGCCCCAAACAGTCCCTATGCAGGCCAAAATAGTAGCAATTATGCACTAAAATGATGGCTCACAAAGCATGGAAATGAAACTCTTGCAATGGTCCAAAAATGAGGTATTCATGCATAACTCTTAAACACATTTAAAGATTGGAAAACATGGAAATATGGCATACATATTAGCTCTGAAATATGATTCACGATGATGCCAAAACATGGAAACGCCTCAAAATACGCATGCAACAGGCTTCAAAACTCAAAACTAGGCGAGGGTATTGAACTACAACCATGCATAGAAAACATCATTCAACCATGAGACCCAAAAACAGAGCTAAGGCAGTCCAAAATATGCACAAAATCAGTTTAAGGAATGGCCAAAAAGTGCTAGAATCAAAGACCAAAATAGTATGCAATACATGCTAGTGAAGAGGGTTTACACTACAAGTATATGAAGCATTCAAGAGGTCACTAAACCATCAAAATTTAGAGGTATGAAATGCCAAATAAAGCCCAAAAACTCATTGAAACATGGTCAATGCATGCAAGAATGACATGCTCCTTTGATAGGCTATGAAGAGGGTTATTCTAAACATGCAAGATGGACATCCAATATGGAAAAACAAGCTCTGGAAAGAACCTATGAAGGTCCTAAAACTCACCAAAAATGGCCTGAAACATGTCTTGGAAGCATGCAAATAAGGGCTCCTTTGTCAGGCCAAATATGCTAGGAAACAAAACAAGGGGAGAGAGGGTCACCCCTGTCTCATTTTGGCACTCAAAATAGCATGCTAGCCACTAAAAATCCACTGGATTTTAGTGGCTAGAAGGCCAGACAAAGGTCAATGCAAAGGCCCTAATACATGGCTTAAAATAAGGCAAAATGAAGCATGCAAGGGGATAGATGACCCCGAACAAAAAAACAATCTTGAACAAACATGTTAAGGACCTCAAAATAAGACTTTTTTCAGTTGATGACAAAGCTCAAATATACTTTTAAGTATGGCTAAAAGATGAAGCAAAATAAAGCCTTAAAAGTGAGAAATTGTGTTACCCTTGTAGCTCAGCAACTCCAGCAGCTTCTGGACCAAAAATGTAGCTCCTCAACCTCTAAAAAAGGCCTCCAAGAAGCTTAGGTTGGTGTTGGAGGGGTTAGGCTAGGAGATGATGTGCAAAGGGCCAAAAAATTCACACTTTCTAAGCCTAAAGGGAGAGATATAGAGGGAGATAGATGTATATGCCTTAGAGAATTTCAGAACCCTCTACAAGGAAGGGAAGGCCTTCCGTTATAGACAAGGGAGGCTAAAGCTTCTCCAAGAAGCTTAAAACCGAGGGCCAATATCCTCCATACACGTGTATGGAGGATACAGTCTGTGTCTCCCAACTGGCACAGTTGGAACCAACTTACTGAGACAGAAAAGGTGGGACCTGGCCGACCAGTTCAGGTGGTCGGCCGACCACTTGCCCTGGTCGGCCGACCAGGTTCAAAAGGTTCAGGTCTCAAAAGCTGGTCGACAGCCTCCTAGGGTGGTCTCCTCAGTCAATACAAGCTAGTGGTACGGTGGGAGACTAGTAAATGTGGCTAAAAAACCAATAAGACCAGCCTCCTATCAAGAAAATTGGCCGGCGAAGAGAAAGGTGGTCTCCAAGAAGAAAAGGTGATCTCTCACCCTAGTACCACCTTCCAAACAATGAAAATAGGGTCCATGCCAAAAATGAACCAAGACAGATGCAAAACGAGGGTTCGGGGGCCAAAACGCGCAGCCGGGTGCTCCGAAAACTGACTGTTAAGCATCGAAAGTGGCGTACGACCACAAAGGTGGTCTCCCAGGCCACAGTATCCCTCTAGAGAGTGGAAACAAGGTGAGTGCCAAAAATCGTACCCAACGGAGAAAGTTAAGCGGTCCCGAACCGAGGCGCACGACCGACGGCTCCAAAAACCAGAAAGTAGTCTCCAAACGGGAACAGTGGTCTGCGACCAAAAAAAGTTGCCTATGGCCACTGAGAGATGGTCTCCAAGACCTCTCCCTCCCTTCAGGAAGAGAAAACAAGATCTGGTTCGCAAACTGAGGCAAAGCACAAACGGGTCCTGAGGTCCGGGGGTAAGGCTCTCAGCCGAAACTCCGAAACCTCAGAACGAGCACAACATGCACCATCATTGAGCGCTCAATCGATGACGTTTGAGTCTTAAGGCCGGTCAAAAATGGGGTGTCTACAATCAGCAATCTGATCAGCAAAAAAAATAAGAAGAAGATAAATAGTGCTTTGAGTAACATGTTAGCGAAGAAAATGACAATCAATCTTAATGTGCTTGGTTCAATCATGGAAAACATCATTATGAGCAATTTAGACATCATTATGATTGTCACAGTGTAGAAGAGTGGTAATGGAAGGAGTAACACCCATATCTTAAAGTAACCAGTGAAGCCAAATGAGCTCCTGAGCGGTATTAGCAAGAGCATGATATTTGGATTCGGTGCTAGAGTGAGAGACCAAGGTTTGTTTCTCATTATGCCAACATATGAGAAAATCACCCAAGAAGAAAACATAATCATATGGTAGAGAGACGATTTGTCGGATCACCAGCCTAATTAGAAGCCGAATAGGTATGTAATAAAAGTGTAGAACTAGACGAGTAGTGAAGAACATGAAATAAAGTGCCTTTGACATAGCAAAGAATTCGGAGCACAACAACATAATGTGTAGATCGAGGAGCTAACAAAAATTTACTAACCAGGTGGACTGCATATGCATAAAGTTTAGATTGCCCACTAACTATCAATACAAGCTGGCATTGGAAAGAGGTGTGCCATCCAGGGTTGTTAGGTGTTTATTCAGCTCGAAAGGAGTGGAGATAGTTTTGCTGTCAGTGAGGCCAACTTTTGCTAGAAGTTTAGAAGCGTACTTGGCTTGAGAGAGATAATAACCATCGGAGATAGTGGAGATCTCAAGGCCTAAGAAATATTTAAGAGTACCCAAATCCTTCATGTCAAAGGGTTCACTAAGCAACTTTTTAAGTGCAGAAGTTCCGTGAACATCATCACCAGTTAGAATCATATCATCCACATAAAGAGGAACATATTTGCGGATAAAGAGAGCAGAATCATAAAAGCTAGAAGACAAACCAAGGGGCTAGGTGGTGGAACTAAACTTCAAAAACCATGCACAAGGAGCTTGTTTGAGTCCATATATTGCCTTGCAAAGTTTACAGACCTGATTAAGTGAGTGAAGATATCCGGGAGGTGGTTGCATATAGACTCCTTGAAGATCACCATTCAAGAAGGCATTTTTGACATCCATCTGAAATAATATTCATTTCGGAATGGCAGCACCAGCAAGTAAACTTCGAACAGATGTGAGATGAGCCATAGATACAAAGGTTTCTTCATAGTCAATTCCATACTCTTATGTGAAGCCTTTAGCAACTAAACAGGCTTTATAACGTTCGACAGTCCTATCAGAATGTGTCTTAATCTTGTTGACCCATTTGTAACCTACCAGAGGTTTGTTAGGAGAGAGGTCAGCCAAGTCCCATGTGCTAGTTTGGTCCAAGGCTTGTAACTTTTCTGCCACTGCGTACTGCCAAAGGGGGTTAGTACTAGCCTCACAATAAAAGTGAGGTTCATGTTGAAAGAAAATAGTAGAGTGACAAAGAGATGTATTAGGAGGCACAGAGGATTCAGTGGCAAGCTCCGGAGGATCAGTGAATTCATGGACTTCAAGAGAAGCAGGAGGAAGAGGAATAGGGGATGGAGATACAGGACCATCAAGAGAGCCAGACTCTGTAAAGGGGATCGGGCCGTTAGCAAGCTTATTAGCAGCACATATATCAAGCTCATCGTCGAAAAATAGAGAAATAAAGGGATTAGTAAAGAAATGTGTAGTGGGAGAATCAAAGTTATGGAATGAAGACATGGAGAAGAACATTTTATATTCCCAAAACACAACATGTCTAGAGACATAAAGGCATTTAGAAATGGCGTCCCAATCGCAATAACCTTTGTGTTTAATGTCATATCCCAAGAAGCAACAAAGACGAGCTCGAGGTTCTAATTTGTTACATTCTTATGGTTGTAATAAGACAAAACACACACAACCAAAAACACGAAGATGATTATACGTGGGGGGGTTTACCATAGAGACACTCATATAGAGTTTCATTGTTAACGATGGGAGAGAAAACACGATTAATCGTGTAAGCAGCAGTGAGGGTTGCCTCTCCCAAAAAATGCTCTGAACAAGAGACAGATATTAAAAGAGCATGAACAGTGTTAAGAATGTGACGATGTTTGCGCTCGACATGACCATTCTATTGAGATGTACCAGGACAAGAGGAGTGAGGGAGTGTACCATATCCCCCAATGGTAGAATGTGATGAAGGCCCCCAAATATCAGAATGTATGAGATCAAAAGGTGTAGGTGACATGGAAACACTTTTATTAAATGGTAAAGATGGTTATTTGGCAAGTTGACAAGATAAACAATCCACTAAATTATTTGTAACATGACCTAACGGACCGCTTGACACTAAACTACGTAAACAACTAAAGGACACATGGACTAGACGAGAATGCCAAAGGTCGAGAGTAGAACTAGTGGAGGAGGTGATTGTAGAAGGAGAGAGTTGAGATGGAATGTGAAGATGAATGAGCACGTACAAACGCCCATTTTTATGGCCGATCCCAAGAGTATGTCCCGTCTGGAGGTCCTACACAACACAACCAGAGGAAGAGAAAAGAGCAATAAGACCAAGATCACAAAGTTGTTCATGAACAAGCTTGGTTTGACTCAGTTCGTTTAGTAAACAAGCAGAGCTCAGGCTCGAATATTAGGCTCATTTAGTAAACGAGTCGAGCTCGAGCTCGCATAAGCTCGGCTCATTAAGCTCGACTTGTTTATCTTTATTTAAATAATATATGAATATATTATTTATATATTATATACTAAATATATTAATATATAAATGTATATAAATAATATTTTTTATTTAAATAATTTAAATAATATTTAAAAAAATTTATCGAGCTGAGCCGAGCTTGAGTTTTGTTAATATTAACGAGCCGAGCAGAGCTCGAGCCCAGTTCCTTATTGAGCCGAGCTTAATCTCAATAAATGAGCTCAATAAGTAAACGAGCCAACCTCAAGCTCAGCAATACTCGGCTTGACTCGGTTCGTTTTTGCAGCCCTACCCAATAGAAATGAGATTGAGAGTAAGATGAGGAATTAAATAAGTGTTAAGAAGAGAAACAATAAAAGTAGAGACATGGCCTATATGACTAACATGCATGGGAGATCCATCAGCAGTGTAAATGGAAAGAACATTAGAAATAAACACGGTAGAAAATAAAATAGTAGAATCAGATGTCATATGATTGCAACAAGCAGAATCAAAGAACCACGAGGAGGTATCTGAGGTCACTGAAAGAGCAGCAGAGGGTGTACCAAAAGTAGAGAGAACCTGTTTGACTATGGATTAAATGTCATAAAGTGTGAAGGTTTGGTTGGGCTTAGGAAGAGCAACAGATGAGGAGGACGTGGCATGGCAACAGTAGCAGTAGTAGAATGAGAATGCGTAGCTGGCCGATAGCGGTGATGGGATCGAGATTGACCTCCTTTGGAACGACTATTACGAGGTTGGCAATTAGGATTTTTGAGGAAGTCACTTTGATAATGGCTAGGAGCGGTCTTTTTGCACTACTAACAAATTCGAATTGGACATGCAAGTAAACCATGATCAGAACTATGGTAATAAGTACATGATTATGAAATGCATGATTTGCTAGGCCAATGAGAAGTTGTAAGAACATTGTGGAGCTGTGGAGATTTGAGAGAGCCAAGACGAGTTTCTTTAGAAAAGAGGTTAGAGATGGCATGTTCCAAAGTTAGAAGCAGATGGCAGTGTAGAAGACAAGTACGAACAGGTTCAAAATTATCCCAAAGAGCCATCAGAAATGAGATCAAGCGCTGTTCATCTCGATATGTGGAGAACTGACTAGCATCTTCCTTGCAGTTCCACTCAGGTTCAAACAGTGACAATTGATCCCAAACGACATACATCTAGGAGAGAATAACATTGATAGACTGACTGGACTCTTGGTGCATGTGATGCAGTTGGCTAAGAACGTGATATTGGTGAGTAAGAGCAGTGGTGCTACAATGAGTCTTTAGAAAATCCCAAATTTCCTTGGCTGTGTCAAAGTGCCCAAATTGAAGATTGATGGAAACAATGGAAGTATTACAGCACCATGTGATGACGTAATGGCTTTTACTGTCTCAATCATCAAGTCGTTCTTCATATTTAGAGGCAGGTTCATCAATATTTTTGATAGGTTTGATAGTATCACCAGTGACAAGACGCCAAAGCTTATTCCCTTTAAGGAAGCTAGACATGGCTTGAGCCCAGATGCTGTAATTTTAACAAAAAAGAATGGTGGAAATAGGTTGGGCCATGTCAAAACGATTCATAGAAAGCAAGTGGTGGAAGAGAATAGTTTTGTTTCTTTTTAATTTTTTTGTTTATTTTTAATAAAAGATCAAGTAAATAAAAGACAATAGAAAACAAATGTAGAAAACAAAGAGTGGCACACAGCTTGGTGAGTTGGGGAAAGAGAGAGTCGGCTGACTGCTGAATTGATGCGAAAGCCAAAAGGCAGTCAGCTAAGGCGGAAGTCGAAAGGCAGGCGACTGAGGCGGAAGCTATGTATGGCGACACATGGCTTAAGGTAAGCCTGGTGGGGCAGCGGTGCGCAATGGTTAGGCAAAGAGACATCTACACATGGCACCGTGCAGAGAGTGTGAGAACGGAAAGGATCACTTACGGAGCTTTGGGTGGCGTGTGTGGGCCTGTGGATGATGATTGTGGAATATGGTTGGCTTTGTCATACTCCTGGTGGAAAGACGAATTGACTGGTATTTTTTTTTAATCTTAAAATAAGAACACAATTAACACTACAAGAAATTGCATTTTTCGCGACTACTTTTAGCGACGATGTCAATTTTCATAGCCAAAAGTATATTTTTGGCGACACAGTGACAAATTTCGTTGGTAAAGGTAGACTTTTACCGACGCAATTTACTACCGTCGCTAAAAAAGTATAACATTCATTAAGCGCCAAAATTATTGGTTGGCGCCAAAATTTCAAAATTTTTAGCTACGAGACTTATTTTTTAGCAACACAATAAGCGTTGCTATTAGTGTGCTTACTTTTGGCGATGACAAGTTGGTGTGGGCAAAGACTTAAACATTTAGCGATGATAACACTATTCGTTGGTAAAAGTTTTGCTAGTGAAATGAGGTGATTTAGTAATTTGTGTTTTTATTCTAGTTTTTCAAAGAGTTTTAATATTCTAGTTATTGAATTGTAAAATTAAAGTGATTATCGAATTAGATCACAAAATAAACCCATCAAGTCCAAACACACTCTTAACTCTTAAGTTGAGATGGCTAATTCGAGATAATCTAAACTTTTCCAAAGAATTAGATTATCAATTTTAATATGTTTGGTTTTGTTTTTAAAAACTTGTTTCAGAATTTTTTTTTCTAAAAAACTAAAAAACATTGGTGCAAAAATAAAAAAATACTTATCATTTTTGTATAATTTTATCTTTTAGGAGGATATAAATAATTTTTAAAATTTTAAAAATATATTTCTGATTTTTATTGGTCTCAAATTAGTTTTATTTTTTTTTAAAAAAAAAATCTAAAAATTGATTTTATTATTTTTTGTTTTGGTGATTTGCCTGTAGAAATTGTTGAGGCGGTGAATGTTCTCTCTCAAAATTCGCTCTTTGTTTTTCCAAGATAGGTAAGCCCCTCATCACTCTCCTCGATTTTCACTCTTGCACAGGCTTCTCTCACAATTCGTAGTTCTCTCCCCCTCACAATCGCACACTGCATAGACGTTTGTTGATCGTCAGGTTGTCGCTGTTTGCTGCTGCTGTGCGAGACCATCAGTGCTTCAGTCTGCCCCTATAGGTTTGTTCCCTTTTGGCTTTGTATCTTACTGCCCCTGTTTTTTTTATTTTATTATTAATCTGGTTTTCTTCGATCTGTCTTTGATATCCACGTGATTTTGCTGTTTGAAATGCGACTGTCGGTAAGCTATATGGAGTGTTTAACTACTAATGTGAAATCAAAGTAAGTTTTATAGGTATTTGATTGAATTAGGTTTAGAATAAAATCTGTATATCAATGCCCTCATTTTGTATTTTGATCTGATGTACTCTGTAAGTGAACATTTTCTGAAATGTCTCTATCCCTGGCTTTGTGATCATTTTTAAAGCATTTCTAAATATATTATTTAGTACTTCTTCTTTTGAAAATCTATGATTTTTGAAAATCATGAAATATTGCACTTTCCCCCTAAAAAATATGTGTGTGTATATATATATATGTTTATATATTTAAGTTTACAAAACAAAAATAGAAACAGGCATCTAGGTGTTATTCAAATGATAGGCAAATTAAAAACTCCAGATCCAGAAAATGTGCATTCATAACTACAAAATTGATAGAGTCACTCCCAGCCATAATTCATTCACACAACCAAAAGCATGATAAAAGAAACAGAACAAACCATATCCTAAACACCCAGAGACATTACCAAAGAGTTGAATAGCTTCCCTAACTAAAAGCGATAGGATTCCCTAGCAATGTTGAGTAATATTTGCATCTTAAATTTAGTGCTTTCCTATGACTAGGACCTAATTATGTTTACAAGGGATAATTGACTCTTTTACCACTAACATATTTTTGTTTGTGTTCTTTTGCTTTCCCCGTCCTTTATAAGAAACAAATTCAGTAAAAGGCAGAGAAACAACCCAAGTGTACTTGAAGTGTACTAGGGGGATGGGGATAAACGAAAGGCATGCCCATGCTTGAATGAAAGTTGTGTACTTGTTGCATTAGTCGCAGGTAGGTCCAGCCTATGCTTGAATGAAAGTTTAAGTTATGTTATGCAAGATGGTACTGATATAAGTGCTGAAAATTTAATTGTTCAAAACATGGCGTCTATAACAGTGAGCTCTTAAACCTCAACCTTATTAGTTTGTTTTCTTCTTGGCTTCCCAGGATTCCACCTAAGCTAAAACCTGTAGAGATTGCACATTATACACGTCCATATCTTTAGGATTAGGTTGTTTTGGAAGCTCTATGGAGTGGCCTAAGGCAATATTGCAAAGCCTTTAAATTTGGACACCAAATCAAATGCTCCCTTTATAAAATAGTATCAATAAAAACATAAATTGCTTACCTTAAATTCTGCACTTGTCTTTTCCTTCAAGAAATTCCTTCGCTCATGCGTTGATTTGATGTTGTCAGGTTGCAGTTTAAGCCTTTTTTCTTCATTAGGTGCCTTTCTTCTTCATTAGCCTCACGTGACAAATCATATAGAAATGCCCAAGCGATAAAAACCTATAAATGCCATCATCTCCCAAAAAGCTTCAAAGAAAAAGAGAGAAAAACATAATACTCTGCATTCATGATATTTTGAATTCCTCATTTCAAAGCACCAATGCTCAAACAAGTTACAATTGTGAACTAATGTTTCAAAGAGATTTTTTTTCCCCCCCAAATTGTTCTAGTGTTGATATATTCTACAAGCATTAAATATCATCCTATATCATATATACTTGTTCAAACAATAAAATAATCACATTATTAATTGATCCGTAAAAAATTCATCTAGGATACATCCAACGTAATGAATTTTTTTTTCTTTTTTCATTTCAATATAATGTTATTACCATTATCAGCAGTAAAAAGTTCTGCGATCCAGATTGCCACATATCAAAAGTGCGTGATTCACATTTTAATTTTCAGACTAAAAAAATATAATTTTATTTGAAAGGAAGCTAACCCAGCTTCACAAAGTTTTAATTTCCTCAAATGATCAAATTTTAATGAGAATTAAGTTATTGTGCTACTGTTCATACAAAGAAAGAATTTGTGACAATGTTTAAGTAAATAATTTGATTATTGTTATGTGACTATAAATAACCAGATGTGCTTCTATTTTTTTAATATTTATTTTGGTTGGCATGATTACTCCTTGCAATTCACATTGTCAAATTTTTGCAATCATGGGTGCAATTACTGACAATAGTGTGGGATTCGAAGTTTTAGATCAATAAAATTTTGTGTTTTGTTCACATAATCACAAAGTATGTGAACAAATTTATTTTCTTATGAGTGGACATGGATTGTTTGAAAAAAAAAATTTGAATATTGCTGAAATTTATCTAAATGTATATGCTTTCACTGTATATATATATATATATTTTTTTTTTTGGTTACTAAAAGGAGAAATCGAGATCTGGATGGTCAAACATGTACATTCTTACTAACATTTTTTTAAAACTATTATGCAATTTGAAATGTAAAATTATTAGGTAGTTTGAAATCATATGATATTATTTTAGTGGATGTTCGTGATTTAGTAGTGACATATATGGTCATTAAAGATATGATAATTTGTCGTTTCGCACGTAGGCATTCATTTTATTTTTCTTTGTTTCGTTTTATAGGTTATTTTGTTGAACATTTAGATACTTTTTGGAATTATTATGTTTGGGATTGTTAGATATAGTTAGACACGTTTTAGAATTCTTATGTTTAATATTGTTAGATATTTAAATAAAATTTGGGATATTGAAATGCATTTGATATTAATTTGGTTACATTACTAATTGTTATGATGTTGTGTTTGATATTGTTTTTATTTTGATTTGCTCTCCCATGTGAGCTGTACATGGGCTTCTTTTGTGATGGCTTGGATGATTATTGTTTTTGTTTGTAACAACATTGGTTGAGTTTCCATTTCCCAGGTGGTTTATATGCTCTGTTTGGACCTATTTTAGACATCCATATTATTGTATGTGGTTCTTGAACAGGTTAGTGTGTTTCTGGTGCTGGTTTGCTGGTTTGCTATTTTTGTTTCAATTTTTGAAGGCAGATGATTTCTGCACTTACATTATTGGTTTGTAGTGACTAGGGAAGATGCATCAAGCTGAAGTAAGGAAGGTTTTTTTCCTATTTACATCACGCTATAAGGGAACTTGTGGCTTTTAGCTTGAAGTATGACCCCTGGTTTTCATGTAATGCGCACCTCAATCATTCATTTTTCCATTTTGAACTCTGAGAATTTGTTTTCTTGTTTCAGAATTCAGGAAAGGAAGGAATCTGTAACTGTGCTGTTGTGTGGGACCAGTGGTCGTGGCAAATCTACATTGTCAGCATTGCTGGTATATCTATTTTGTTGCTGAAAGCATTAGTATTCTTTTTACATTTTGGACATGGAGAATTAATGGCATTTCTTCAACCTCCCCCCATTTTAAAATCTTTCTTCTTCTTCTTCTTCTTCTTCTTCTTCTTCTTCTTCTTCTTCTTCTTCTTTCCCTATTCTTCTCCAAAAATATATGAAAGTTTCTGGTCAGGATATTAACTTTACATTTATTCCCTCTTTAGTGGCAACAATAGTGATTTTGTATATGATGCATGAATGGTTTTCAGTAGATGATCATTGATGCTGATTGTAACACCTGCTCGTTGATCTTGGGAAAAAAAAAAAAACTTTCTTATTGTTGTGTTTTTTTTTTTTCTACTAAACTTTTTGGATTCGCCATTTCAAGTGGAAAAAATCTCCATATTAGATAGTAAAAAACTGCTATCTAGGACATTGCTGGAAGCAAATGTGGCAGATTAATTTCGAACTTTATAGTAGCTTCTGTGCCTTCTTCCATCCTGTGCCTGAATGACTTTGGAGAACAAGGACTTATCTATAATTCATTAATACTAGCTTATGATCTGAGATGGGGGACGTAAGAAAATAGATAGCTTTACATTATGGATTTGGGAGTAGGATATTGGGCTTGTATGGGACAGATTTCAAATGACTCCATTTTCATTGATATTTCATATTCACCAATAGTGGGCCCTCGCATTCTTCATTTGTCTACCTAGGATTTAAATCCAAGCTAGAATCCTGTAAGAAATCATGTGCAAGTCTTCCCTTCCAAATCATCAATTTAAATGCCACTTTAGTTTGCATCTGAGGTTAACTGCACCAGCCTTCAGAATGCTGAACAAAAATTGAGACTAATCATTGTACATTTAAAATATGCTATCCTAATTTTTTTTACTTATAGTCATGTCTTCATCTATTTTGCAACATAGCAGGTTGGGTATCATGACTGTGATATCTACTGACTCAATTCGGCATATGTTGAGGAGCTTTGTAGATGAAAAGAAAAATCCCTTGGTTTGGGCTTCAACATACCATGCTGGGGAATATTTGGATGCAAAAACTGTTGCAGCAGCAAAGGCCAAAAGAACAGCTAAAAAATTAGCTGGTGTTTCCCAGCCCCTACCAAAAGATGATGCCTGATGGTTCTACAGTTGGAAAGTCTAATACCCAACCACCAGAAGTGGGTTCTAATGCTGCTGAATTTATCAGGCCGAGACAAATGGCCATTGAGGGATTTAAAGCACAAAGTGAAATGTTCATTGACAGCCTTGACCGGCTGATCACTGCGTGGGAAGAACAGAATTTTTGCATGGCTATACAGGACAGTCCAGTAGTTCCAATTGGGAGGAGCCCTAGGACAGATGTCCTTTTAAAGGCAGAAAAAGCAGTGTTGGAGTCTGGCAGTAGTGTTGTAAGATTAGCAGGACTTTACATATCCTTTATGAAAATGCAAGTTATAAGATTTACATATATCTATTGGTGAAACTTTAGGGATTTATGGTCCGAATCAGTTTGTTATATACATGCATACCCACATATGTGAGCACACACATCCCACCTTAACTCTCAATACAAAGCAAATAAAGGTGCACATGTTTATTGGTTGGGGAAAGGCACTGTTGACACTCATCCATATCACATCCTCAATCTTATACACTACGAGGTGAGTGTTTATCTTTGTGTATTTTTTATTGTCTTCTATGAATTACTGTCCTTGCGATTCTATCTGAGTTGCCTTCCTCCTATTTCGCATTAAACTATAAATATAATTACGCAATACCTTTTCTTGCTCCATGAGAATATTGGGGGAGAGAAAAAGAAAAAGAAAAACTTTGATGGGTTTATTCTATTCACTCTTTTACTTAGGCAGTCACTTTGATATTCTTCTCTCTCTCTCTCTCTCTCTCTCTCTCTCTCTCTCTCTTTGTGGGTCAATTTTTTATGCTTTTTAATTATATTTAGATACAAATTGGAATCTGAGCTCATACCATGCTTTAGGTCATATCTTATTTCATCATCTTCAGTCTTCCATACATTCCCTGAATTCCTAAAGTAAATCTGTGTAACCATTTGTGTTTGTGATATCGATAACATTTAATTTGGTGTGCCTTGCATATTTCCACAAAAGGATGCAGCTTCCCTCTCAATAGCAATCTTGAAGATTAAACTTTGGGGCCGAATTTTTCTAGGCTGTGATAATCATCCTTTATCCAGTTATTATTATTATTATTATTATTATTATTATTATTATTATTATTATTATTATTATTATTATTATTATTATTATTATTATTATTTAATTTATTTTTTTCCCCTTGTTTGAATGTTGGATTTTAATGACTCCTCTCTACCAAAGTTTTCTATGCAAACGAGTACAACTACCTGCAGCTGCAATTGACATTATTTTTCACAAGACTGATGATGAAGTTTTCTTACCTTGCAATTTCTCTGCTTCATATGTACTGCAGACATGAGGAGAGATGTGCTGGAGATATTCAAGATGACTCCTCATGACAAACAAGTTATGATGTTTTCTGCAACACTCAGCAAGGAAATTCGTCCTGTTTGCAAGAAATTTATGCAAGATGTAATGTCCCATGACCTGTTCTACTTGAATTTAGAAGAATCCTTTTCCATAAATGTCAGCTTTCTGCTGGCGATAAATAGTTAGGAATGCAGTGGTTGTAGGCTTCTAGCCTTCTATGCTTTCAGTTTTGCATTTTGTTTATGCCCATTATTCAATATTCTACCTAAGCATGTAATGTGATAGGGGATGGGTAGTGGCAGAAGAGAGATCGGTCTTTAGGTCTGATGTGTGGGGATAGTTTCTTCATTCTTCGGTACCTTATTTTTTCTTTTGTTCACATCCCTAGTTATTTTCTTGTTTACTTTAGGCCTTGAGTGTGCGTTTTTAATGGGGTTGATGCTGTATGTCTTACCTGTGGCTCCTTTTGGTTACATAATAGTATATATGTTGAGCAACAGTGGACTTGCTTCTTGTGAGTTAGAATATCTGCAAGGAGACATCAGATGGACCGGAATCTCAATTGAAGGGATGTTCATCCATCATTCATTTCGTGCTGGATTCCATTACCTTCAGGAAGGCTCCTAATATGCTTTACTGTGACATTTCTTCCTTTCAGCCAATGGAAATTTATGTTGATGACGAGGCGAAATTGACCCTTCATGGTCTTGTACAGGTATTGCTTTGGAAGTTTCGTTTTTGGTCTTTACCTTATTTTTAACCATTATCTTACCTCTTAATTTTTTCCTCGTGTCAGCACTACATCAAATTGAGTGAGCTAGAGAAAAACTGCAAGCTAAAAAGTTTGTAAGAAAAGTTTGTAATTTTTTTTTGTTCGTATAGCATTTTCCATTTTGTTTACTTAGTTTTTACATGAAATTTCTAACAAGTTTCCAATAAGCTTTGTTTGACAATTGTTGGGTCTCATTTATGCAAACAAAAGACAGTTACTGATCCTACATTCTATTTGTGAAATTAGAATAGTTTGATTGAGAAAACAGAGATAATTAAGTTATCCTTTCCTGAAAAGAGAAAGCTTTTATCTGTAATCATGTCCAAAAAAAAAAAAAAAAAAAAGAAAAAAAGAAGAAGGAGAAGGACAGAGAGCAAGACTTCTTTGTTTGACGATTTGGTTCACCCTGAACTCAGATAATTCTTGTGATCATAATTGCAGTAACAGAATTCATGAAGTGTTCTACTTCATGACATGGACAATGTGATTACTATTGACAATGTGATAGAATTTTGTTATTTATTTATTTATTTATTTATTTAATAGGCCCTATTTGGTATTGTTTTCATCATTTAAAAAATTCAATAAATAGATTTAAAGTGTTTCATAAAAATAGGTGCTTACCATTTTTTTCCCAAACGTTTGGACAATCAATTTATTATTATTATTATTATAGCAAAGTTATTTTTGCGTTGTTAGTTGTTTGTAAAATTGTTCAAATCAATTTGTTGGAAATTGTTAAATTCACAGTTCTTTTTTATGAATTCACAGCCCTGTCTCTGACACAACCCTCTCTCTCATATAACAGGCTCCACCATGTGAGAGAGGGGTGCTATGGATCCGATCTGCCAAAAAAGAGTGAATTTATCAATCTCCCAATTTATTGTATCTTGGCGTTTAGATAGTTGTTTGAAAATACTTAGCTATTTTTTTCCTTTTCGTTCCACCTTTCCTCTCTCATTTAGTGTTTTACTGGCAGGCATTCTGATATCAGCTTGGTTGAGTTGGCAAATGAAACAGTTAAAGAAGATGACAGAGTTGTTTTATTGGAGTGGGGAGGTCTCCAGTCGGCTTCTCCTAAAGCTCAAAGTTCACCTGTCACATCTCACGTTGTCAGGTTAGAAAAAATAGTTGTTTCCATCTTTGATTATTTATGAGAAATATGAACGGGTTAATTTAACATTCTTTATGCTCTTTAACTTTTCAGATTTCTTCTAATGGATGAGACTTTCTTGCTGGAAAATCGATTGACACTCAGAGCCATGTAAGTCTCTCATCGTCACAATTTAAAACCATAAGTTTTGGAGCTTTGTAAGTTTGAAGGACATGGTTAGAAAGTTGACTCTCATTTTTCTTCTTATTGTTCTCTCTCCCTACTGATCTGAATTTGGTGTCCTTTTGATCTACTGTTACTTATGTGACCGTACAATTCTCTTCGGTGAATCAAAAAGGTTTTGCCAATGCCCTCTTGTCTTTTAACCATCATTTGTTTTTGCAGAGTTATAATCGGGATCTTTTCTTATTTCTCTACTTCCTTCTCATCATAGTTTCAGCAATTACTTCTTTCAAGATTCATCATGATAAGTCACCAATCTCAGGAAAATCCATACTGTATCTGAACAGGCATCAAACTGAAGAGTGGAAAGGTTGGATGCAGGTTAGTCAGTTTTTAAGATGACATGTCTATTTCTTTGAATTGTCTAATTTTTAGAATTGTCTAATTTATTGTTACTTGTTTTCAGTGTAAAAGAAACATTTTATTTCCTTTGTGTTTGTTTCTAGTGTCTCTTGTGATTTGTTTGGGAGTTTGAACTCTAATCAATATAATTCCCTCCCACTCCTTTCAGTGTTTCTCTACCTGGAAACACTTCCTGTCTTGTCTGCATCTTGTAGTCAATCTACAAAAAATATATTGGTAGTTGATAAAGAGAAGTAACTTTGAGATGGGAAATTGCAGTTGGAAATGGTTAGAGAGAGAGAGAGAGAGAGAGAGGGAGTCAACAAGTTGCTGAAAGTTTATTTATTACCCTGCTCTATAATTGGAACTAGGAGCAGTTTGTGAAGGGCTTGGGAATGTTGCCTTCAAGTTTAATTGATGTGGGATGCTAATCAAATCTTTTGGTTATAGGACCTCCAAACTACACTCTGTCTGAAGTCATTAATCCTGTGAATAAATTAAAGCTCTTTTCAGCCATAAGAATTTTGTTTTCACTTCCTAATCAGATGAAACATCTAGAATAACTTCTCCATGCTTAAATTCAGCATTAACTTGCCATTCCTTGATGTCCATTTTGTTGTCAATAAGAATCTTCTGGCACCCAAGTTCGTTGGCCGGGTTGAATTGGCTCTGTTTTCTTATTGGACAAATATAAAATTGACTTGGACTTGCATCTCTTGGAACTTTTCAAAGAGAAAAACACATTTTGCATCTACTCATTTTGTTAATCATCCAAAATTTTAAGAAGAGGCATATTTGAAATATTCATCGGGGCATTGCTTCTTGTAATTTGCATCAACAGCGTGTAGTGCATTGATGAGTTGGGCACTGTTTACATCTGCCTGCTTTTATATAATCTAATATTAAGACATTTGATTTTCTTATGGTTAGTTATTTTCTTTTCTGCTTTATTCAGTCAAGTGATCTATCAAATGTAAAGAGGTTGTTAACAAGGGCACAAGAGAATCCAAGCCAACATTTCTCGTTCGAAATGACGTATGTGTCTTCTTGCTGTTTTTGCTCTTCCCAAGTTGAATTCAGCTTGAAATCTTGAGTTTGTAATGAATTTTTGATTTTTGTTTTTGTTTTTTTCTTCTTTGCAATTTTTCCTACTTATTCATTATTTGTCTGACATGTGTGAAAAAAGTACTTACATGTACATGCACACACACCTGTCCATATAGGGAAGAGCTGAGACACACCAGTGGCTTATGTCAAATTAAGAACGAAAGCTCAATTGCGACCATAATTATACTTCTGTTCCCTTTTTGCTTATGGCAGGTGGGGAAAGTGTTGCTAAATGCATTGTTATATCCAGGCATCAAGACGAACATGTAGAAAAATTCCATTGTTGCGATATTTCATACGGCGGTAATATTTCTTAATTAAATAATTCAAAATACACTTTTGTGGGGGAAATAAATAAGAAACGGGGATGTTTTGTTATCTGTCATTTCTACTGCAATATATTCTGTTGTATCATACAAGGCTCCAGGCATGGTAAATCTTGTCATTGAATTCATAAGTGAGGCTAACAAATCGAGGTTCCTATTTCTGCTGCATGATAATGGGATATTTATCCAATAAACAAATGGGATAACTATTCTATTATATAAAGTGCACCTGAGTTAGGTCGGCACTTAGTAACTATCACATCTAATAACAATAAGAATAATTTTTTTTTGGTCAGACCGTCCAAAATTGCTATTAGTTTTCCTCAACCATCATACTATCCAAAAATTTAAATATAAAATTGCAAATGCGTTTGCACACACCGCTTGTACATATATATGTGGGAAGGATTCTCATGGGTTGTTTTTTACGGAAATTTTTTCTGAAGCATTTTTTTTAATGCACTTTGTAGTGGGAAATTTCACTTGTGTTTTTTGTAGGGTGATGTGGGAAACAACAACATTGACAGTGACAGTGTTGTGGCACGTACCTTCTTAATAAGAACAAAAACTGAGGAGGATCGAAAGAAGCTTGCAGAAGCAATTCAGGAATATGCCCCTCCTGCTTGAAAATACACATGAAAGTGATTTTCCATCACATTGTACAACCCTTGAGCTTCAACAAAATTGCAAATGAAAAAGTTTTGTGTAGGGTGGGCTTGTTGAAGCCGATGAATCCTCCTTTTCTTTCGGAGGGAGGGCGAGCTCCAAAAATCTACCAAGCGGAGCCAATATTCAAAAGTTGACAATATTTTCATATGTACAAGAGGCTAATGCACCTGTATCATGTAGAGAAGAAAGGATGTTCTCCTCCAAAGTGGGTATTTTACATTCTTTTTTTTTTCTTCTAATTATCATGCAAGGATTAGCAAAGAACTTGGCTTGAGTAGCTCCTATTAAAATGCCTTTACATGTTGGTCATCTCTTCTGAAATGCCCCAAGGAATGTCAAATAATGCAGCTGGCCTGATGGTTGTAGATGCACAAAGCTCATCTGAGATGCATGAATCAGATTCGCCTGCTGCAGCTGCTGGTCTGCTGCTGCCGCCCTTGTGGTTGATGCTTGTTGGGCTGCTGTAATGTTGCTGTGAAGCGGCTGCTACTAGATGTTGGTTTGCTGGATAAGTTTGTGGATACTTTTCGTGTCGTTTTGCCTGTCTTTGTTAGTTTCATGTTTTCATTGTGTTATCTGTTATTTGTAATGTGGGTTCACAATTTGGATGTATTTGGGTATTTTAGTGAGTTTACCCTTTTAGGTTTTATACACTACTTCTAAAAATAGTATCAGCGGTGTTTTTTTTTTGCTTGCACATCAACTTTAGGTAATTTTATATCAATGTTATTAGTTTGTAATAGTGGTGCCTGAGGAATGTCTCTTGTAAATCTATAAATCTTATAAAAATATATAAATTATTTTCAATTATTTTTGTTGGTAAATGAGTCGCCAAAAGTTTATTTGTGCCCACTCATATTGTGTTGTTAGAAGTGTATTTTTAGCCAATGCTAATTTGTCGTTGTCTAAAGTAAACCTTTATCGACAAATAAATCGTCGGCAAATAGCAATATTTACCGATGTAAATGTATTGCTAAAAGTTTATTTTTGCCCACTCATATTGTGTTGCTGAAAGTGTATTTTTTGCCAATGCTAATTTGCCGTTGCCAAAAGTGAAGCTTTATCGACAAACAAATCGTAGGCAAATGGCAACATTTACCAACGCAAATGTGTTGTCAAAAGTTTACTTTTGCCGACGTATATTTTGTTGCTAAAAGTATATTTTTTGCCCATGCAAATTTGTGTCACGAAAAGTGTCACACAATCACCATATTTGAATGACTTTTACCGACGCAAGGTAAATTGCCGACGATAGATGAAGGCTTTTAACAACGACTATGTTCGTCGCTAAAGGCATTACTTTTACCAACGCGATGATAATTTCGTCGGCAAAAACTTTTGCCGACTCACTTTTGCCTACGGGTTGCCAACGTAGCTTTGTGTGTTGGCAAAACTCTTTGCCGACGAATTTTCCCTTTTAGCAACATATTTTCTTGCGTTGCAAAAAATGCAATTTCTTGTAGTGGGAGGACTAGACAATGATAAAGGAGGATGAGAATGAAAAAAAAAAAAAAGAGGGACAAATCCTAAAGCAGAAACAATAGAGGTGCCGATAATAGATGTGGAGAAACTACCGAAAGAAGGATATGACCCTAGTAAATATGGAGTGCTAGTCGATCAGCCAAGACCAGAGGCCGTTCTTCCTGATTCATTCTCCATTAATGTTAGCAGGAAAGATGCACCTGGGCAAGGGTTGGACGACTTGGCTGACTTGGAAGAAACTTGGATACATTCCATTTCTTCGAAGAACATGACTTGGGAGATGTACAAATCAAATGGTGGAATCTGAATAATATGGTGGGTAGCTAGGGATGGACAAGTAGTGAGAAAGACTCTAAAATAAAGGAGATCATAAGGAAGCAAAGAGGAAAGCACGAACTAGTAGGAAAGCCAAAAGGAAGGGAAAGGTTGGTGAGTGTAGCAAAATTGGGGTAAATGGTAAGCCAGAGGGGTCCGAAGTAAAAGAGATTGAAAGAAAAATACTGGAAAGGATTGAGAGAGAAGTGCCAGAGGAGATTGAAAGGGGAATACCAAAATGCCAACAACAGGGGAGAGATGGATTAACAACAGAAAAAGAAAGGCAGAGAACTAACCTAGCATGGACACATATAAGAAAAAGAGAGATCTTTGCAAAAATTCGATCAATGTCACCTTACCAGCCAAAAGGTGATGATTATAATGTGGAGATGATTCACATTGAACCGGATAACTACTTATCTGTAAGTGAAGGGGAATGGTGGAAAGATAATGATCTGCATCTTGCTCATACCAACGAGGGTTGGTGAATTAATACACTAGATGATACCTAGTATCATGAAGAAATTGACCACTTAACTAGGAGCAGGCATTTTGTTAAGCCCTCACACCTAGATCTAAGTGAGCCATCTGGGAAAGATACAGAGAAATTGGAAGATGACGAGAAAGAAGAAGAAGAGAACCTCGTCTTAAAGCAGTTAAAGAAGATTCAAGCCAACATCTTGATTTGGGGGTTGCTCATGGTTTTATGGGAACACCGCCAGGCCATGCTCACAGCTTTAAGTAAAGCAAAACTGTCAATCAATACCACACCTAATCAATTTGGTATCATTGATCACACCAATCAAGTTAGTCCCAGCTATGACTTTCTCAAATAAAGAGCTTCCCCTAAAAGGATCGGAGCACAACAAGCCTTTGTATGTGTCTCTAGAATGCAGAAAGAAATGGGTCTCAGTGGTTTCAATTGATACCGAATCAGCTATAAATGTGTCCCTTTCGCGTACTGCTTATGTATTAGGGCTAAAGCCATCCGACTTTATGCCTACAATCCAATTGATCTAGGCATATAAGAACACTAGTCGAGAGGTCATGGGAACCGTTAAAGTACAGATAATGGTAGGGCCATCTGAGCACGAAGCTGAGTTTCACGTCATGGATGTTCCAACAACATTCAATTTGTTATTGGGGAGACCATGGCTACATCAAATGAAGGCAATTTCCTTTACGGTACATCAGATGGTAAAATATCCACATGAAGGGAGAATTGCTACCATCTTGGGAAACTCATCTATTCACCCTCCACCCAAGGTCATGGCGCCATTATTAGAGATAAATCATAAAGAGGAAGATATTTTTCTCTCTGGATTCACTCTAGCAGAAGTATAGTTGGTCCAAACAATTATGGAAGAAGGGGGAGAGATGTACGTAAGTGCCAATCGGTCTACCTCATGAGCAAGTTGGGGCATATTCAAGTAATGAGGTTGGAAATCAGTGGCAGGAAGGGTATTACTATGGCAAGTGAAGTTACCCATAATTCACATTCATTCGGATTAGGGTATGAACCTACAAAGGAGGACTAGAAAAAGAAAGGAGATGAAGTGAGAGAAAATCAAGGCCAAGAGAGCTGGGTAACAATATAAGCTGAGTTATAAGCTAATCCAAGGGACTTTGAATGAACGTTTTATCAGAGAGGGAGATGATTTTCCTTTCTATGGTTTTCCCAAACCTTGGGTTAGCTGTGAAACAAAAAAGCATCTTTTCAGATTCAAGATTTTCTTTAACCACCAGCTTTCTAAAAGCAATGATGAATGGGTGGACCCTAGCAGTGGTATTGTTCAGTGCAGACATAAGAGTTCCGGCGAGAGTAGGAGGGACGAAGTGGAACTAACACTAGTCGATTTTGAAACCAACACAGAGTTTTAGAGTTTAGGAAATGTCACTATTCCTATGATCGGGGATAGACCGCTGGTAGATTGCAGTGACCTTATCTTGGATGCAGCAGAGGCACTGCGTTTGACTTGGAAACTTAAGAAAGGTTGTATTGTGGATTTTGAATCTGGTAGTGAGTCTGAGTTTGATTCCACTAAGTCTGTGTAGTCAGAGTTAGACTTGAGTCTATTTAGTGAGTCGGAGTCTGGTGATTTTGGGGATGATAACCCAGACCCCACTATGTTGTCAAGGTCATCTTTTCCTTTTTCATTTGAGTCCATTATAATGGCTGAGCCAGACTTGATGAATGAAAGTGATATGGATTGTGCTTACTTCTCTGTGACTAGGATTTCTAAAACTTTGATGAAAACAAAGACGAAGAAATTCCTCGAGTTTTGAAAAACTTGATTAATTGGGAGGAAAATAAGCATGCAAAACCTTTGCTTGATGAAATTGTTCTAATTAATGTGGGTACTGAGAAGCATCCTCGCTTACGCCAAATTAATTACACTATCTTCAAAGGCGTGTGAGCAATTAGTCGCTTTGTTAAAAGAATTTAAAGATGTTTTTCTATGGTCCTACAAAGACATGCCTGGAATCGATCCTAAGATCGTATATCATAGGATCCCTCTTGATCCTGAAGCTCGACCTATCAATCAGAAGCTCCATAGAATTCAGCCAGACTGGGCGCTGAAAATTAAGGAGGAGGTCACCCAATAGATTAACATGGGGTTTTTTATTGTGTCAGAATATTCGACGTGGTTGGCTAACATTGCGTCGGTTTTGAAGAAAGATGGCAAGATTAAAGTCTGTGTTGACTTTATGGATTCAAATAAGGCAAACCCTAAGAATGATTTCCTGCTACCGCATATTGATGAATTAGTAGACTTCACTACGGGCCATGGTCTATTGTCATTCATGGATGGTTTTTTGAGTACAATAAGATCTCTATGGCACCTGAGGACAGAGGGAAGACAACAATCACTACTTAGTGGGGAACTTAATGCTACCAAGTCATGCCATTTGGACTGAAAAATGTCGGGGCTACTTACTAAAGAGCAGCAACCACCATATTACACGACATGATCCACAAAGAGGTTGAAGTATATGTGGATGACTAAACACACTAGGATTAGAGCCCGTGGTCCATTATTTTTGTTTTCTTGCACGCTGATGGACGTTTCGAATAATTGCGACCTTATCACGGGCCTACACCTTGATTATATCGTGTCTTAGTTGAAATAGGAGTGTGCCTATCAACAGCCAAGTATTATCGGTGCAGAATGTGGCATGCCTCTATTTGGGACAAATAGAGTGCTTGATTTGGACTAAAGTTGTGAATCTGGACCATTATTTAAATGTTGCAATTGTTGATTTATTTTTGTTAACGTTTGCACAAATCTTTCCGACGTTTGAACAGTAGTGTCTATGATGGTGATGCCCATTTGAACAATAAATTTTATTATTTTTCTCATTTATGTTTGTGTATCTATTGTTGACTATGAAGCACGTGTGCGGGTACAGGTACGATACGGCTATGCCGATACAACAAATTTTTTAAAAAGTAGGGTACAGGTATGGATACAAGTGGGGTGCGCCAAATTTTTTTATTATTTTTTTTTTAATTTATATCTAAACATCCAGCATACAAATTAAAGTTCAATAACATAATTACAAAAAAATTACAAAAATAAATAAATAAATAAATCATTCTTCAATAGTACCAATACTAAAGTAAATTGACGAGCTATTTTAAGGTCATTATTACATAGAAGAAATTAGAAAAGA